GAATTGGGGGGGGGGGTGTCTCCGGGTCTGGGCCTGTCAGAGCCCTTGGGAACCCAGCAAGTTCTGGCCCCCAACTCCCAGGCAGGGATGATGTAAGAGGGCCCTCTCCTCTGCCCCAGCCCTGCCCTCCTTCTGATCCTGTTCCCACCTCCCCCTGCTGTCTGCTGACCCCATACTTCCAGCACACTCCTGTGCTCTTGCAGGGTGAGACAGGAAGGGGAGATGGGCCCTAAGTTGTTACCTTAAAAGGGCCGATGGAAGCAAAGAGAAGAGGAAGTGGTTGTCAGGGTGGGAGCTGGGCCTGCTCTTCACGCAGGAAGCCCTTCTGCAGCAGCTCTCCCCGGAAGTGGCCATTTCCAGTCCTCTGCTCCTGCCTGCGGGCAGTTATGGCAGATTTCCCAGGACCTCTCCTTTTGGAAGGACCCATGTCCACAGCCCCACCATTCACACACTTGCCTGGGGATGCTAAACCCAATAGTTGACTCCCCCTTCCCCACCACCTGTCCAGGGCCATGGAAGCCTCACTCAGGGAAGCTGGGGTGGGGGCGGGGCCCTCAGGGCACAAATGAGAAACTGAAATAGGGATGGCAGGAACTTAGCCAGGATGTGACAGTAAGTCAGGACCAGGACCTGATGTGGCCCTGGTGCCCAGCCCCCTCCCTCCCCCAATCTGTGCTGCTTGTCTCCAGCCCTTCTGAGTTGCCCTTATGACTCTGGCTTGGGGCAGAGGACCAAACCCTCCCACCCTAGGCCCTGTTCTGCCTCCCAGGATCCCGGGCCTTCCTCTCTGCCTCTGAAGGGGTGGGGAGGTTGGGCTGGGGAAAGCACCTTCCTCAGAGGCCCTGTTGTGCCCTCTAGACTGGACGTGTGGACAAGAATGCGCCCACGGTCTGTGGCCACACAGCCCCCGTACTGGACATTGCCTGGTGCCCGCACAATGACAACGTCATTGCCAGTGGCTCCGAGGATTGCACAGTCATGGTGAGTGGTGGTGGGGACACAGGCAAGGAGGGTGCTCCAGACTAGGATCTGACATTTGGATCTCCCAAGACTCACTTGCCCCTTCTCTGCAGGTATGGGAGATCCCTGACGGGGGCCTGGTGCTGCCCCTGCGGGAGCCTGTCGTCACCCTGGAGGGCCACACCAAGCGTGTGGGCATCGTGGCCTGGCACCCCACAGCCCAGAATGTGCTGCTTAGTGCAGGTGCCTGGGGGGAGGAGAGGGATGGGCTGGCCACCTGACAGCAAGTGGGTAGGCTTATGGCTTCTGACACTGGGGGCATTTCCCAGGCTGTGACAACGTGATCCTGGTGTGGGACGTGGGCACTGGGGCGGCCGTGCTGACGCTGGGCGCGGATGTGCACCCGGACACAATCTACAGCGTGGACTGGAGCCGAGACGGTGCCCTCATCTGCACCTCCTGCCGTGACAAGCGCGTGCGCATCATCGAGCCTCGCAAAGGCACTATTGTAGCTGTGAGTTGCTCTGAACCATGACCCTTGACCCAGGGACCTTTACCCCTCCTACCTACCACCAGCCCGTTGCTAGATGCAGTCCTCTCTTGCCCCTGGCTGGGGTCTGGCCCTTAGGGTGTGTGTATGGGTGCCTGATGGACCACTTCCCTGTCCTTCCAGGAGAAGGACCGCCCTCATGAGGGGACCAGGCCTGTGCGAGCTGTGTTTGTATCTGATGGAAAGATCCTGACCACGGGCTTCAGCCGCATGAGTGAGCGGCAGGTGGCACTGTGGGACACGGTAAGTGCAGAGAATCAGAAGAGCAGGCTCAGTCCCTGCCCTGCCACCGGCCTGGGCCTTATGCCCATGGCTCTGTTTAGCCACCATGAGGTGGGGGTTTCCACTGGTTGGTCTGTAAGGGTCCCCACCCCCATCCTGGGGCCTGACATGGTGCAGCTCATTGTTACTTCCCACCTGTCTCTACAGAAGCAGCTGGAGGAGCCGCTGTCCCTGCAGGAGCTGGACACGAGCAGCGGCGTCCTGCTGCCCTTCTTTGACCCTGACACCAACATTGTCTACCTCTGTGGCAAGGTGGCCCAGTTGAGCAGGGTGTCAGGGGAGGGGGTGGGCAGAGGGGCTTGGAAAGGACCATGGCTGCAGGCATCTGTTGGTGTTGATCTTCCCTTGCACCCACCACCTGCAGGGTGACAGCTCTATCCGGTACTTCGAGATCACTTCCGAGGCCCCATTCCTGCACTATCTCTCCATGTTCAGTTCCAAGGAGTCCCAGCGTGGCATGGGCTACATGCCCAAGCGTGGCCTGGAGGTGAACAAGTGTGAGATTGCCAGGTGACTGATCCCTGACCCTGACCTAAGCATACTCCTTGGGCAGTGCTGACCTCATGCTGACCTTCAGTTCCAGCCCAACTATGCTGTGGGCATTGCTCAACCATCCTGTTTCCACAGATTCTACAAGCTGCACGAGCGGAGGTGTGAGCCCATTGCCATGACAGTGCCTAGGAAGGTGATGCTTCCATGTCCCTCCCTGGGCTCTGGGCTGTAGGGTGGTGGTGTGGCCTAAGCATGCTCCTAACTAGCCTTGGCCTTGCCCACAGTCGGACCTGTTCCAGGAGGACCTGTATCCGCCCACTGCAGGGCCTGACGCTGCCCTCACAGCCGAGGAGTGGCTGGGGGGTCGGGATGCTGGGCCCCTCCTCATTTCCCTCAAGGATGGCTACGTGCCCTCAAAGAGCCGGGAGCTGAGGGTCAACCGGGGCCTGGACACTGGGCGCAAGAGGACAGTACCAGAGGCCAGTGGCACTCCAAGCTCGGTGAGAGGCAGATAGGAGGCTGGAATCAGGATGGGAAGACAGGGTAGGGCAGGGGCTGCTATTGATGTGGTCATGGACCCAGTGGGGGGAGGCTGGCTTTTGAGGCAGCCGAAACTCACAGGGGGCTGGAAGTGGGTAATCCTGAGGCCCCAGAAAACAGGTTTCAGGCTTATAGGCCTGCAGCTCTCTGGGCAGCAGAGTGGCTGAGAAACAGAAAGGCCCAAATCCTGGGGCTCTTGGGAAGAGACTTAGTGGATGCTAGGGTAAGGGAAGTCCAGGATGGAGCTGGGCCTAAAGCAGCTCTGGATCCTCCAGGATGTCGTGTCCCGGCTGGAGGAGGAGATGAGGAAGCTCCAGGCCACGGTGCAGGAGCTCCAGAAGCGCTTGGATAGGCTGGAGGAGACAGTCCAGGCCAAGTAGAGACTCTGGGGCCTTCAGCTGGGCCACAACATCGCCTCCCTCCCGTTCCATGCACATTCCCACTCCTCAGGCTGCAGTGGCAGAGAAAATAATAAAATGGCTTTATTTTCTGATACCTCTCAGACTCTGATGACTGGGCGCCTGAGTGCTGAGTCTGCTGAACTGACACATCCCTGAGCTCCCCCCTCAGAAGCCTTGATGGGATTGCCACATGGCAGGGGCTCAGGGATGCCTCCACATGCCCTAGACAACAGGAACAGGTCGAGTGGGTGGGGGCCACTCCATTCTGGAATGGTTTGGGGGCCTGCTGTTTTCCAGCTGGCAGGTGTGAGCTACTGAAGGCCTGGGGCCACAAGGACTCCCAGGTTTACCCCAAATCTGCCTTTTCTAGTCAACCTCATCAGGTTACGTGCAACTGTACCGACACTGTTGCTTGTGGGAAAATGAAACAACTTTTACGTGACATGTTTCAAACTGTAGGTCCCACAGGTCCTTTTGTAAGGAGAAAGCTTAGAACCAAAGCAACAGCCCAATCCTAGTTTACAGGCGAGGAAACTGAGGGGCTCACTGAAGGGCAGGTGCTGAGCCATGACTTGTCTTCCCTTCTAGTTTTGAGCCTTCCCTGTGCAGCGCTGCTGCCTCTTGAGCCCTTACTCTGGGTTCTGCCTGGGCCTGGCCCCTGTGCAACAGGGACCAGAATAGACCTGTCAGGTCCTATCGAGTGGGGGCATGGAAGTGAGCTTGATACCCAACTTAGCAGGTGACCGACCCCCTGAGCTGGGACACAGGGCTATTAGGAATGGGTGTCCTGGCCACAGCAGGGTTTGGTTCATAACACACAGGGACAGCAAGGATTCAATGCCGAATTTGCGGCTCCCTCTACCTCTTCAGCATGCCAGAGAAAACCACCTGGGTAGAGAGCTGTGAGGCAGCCTAAGATTTACCCTGTCTAACCATTTTGGTCTCACCCTCTATGCAAGCCACATTACCCTGGGCAAGTCACTTCTTTCGAGGCCTCAGCTGCTCATCTATAACATGAGGAAGGTTACCACAACTCTGAAAACAGTGGGTGGATCCAATCAGGGGTGTGATAGAATCAGAAAATCTGGAGCCTGGGCCTATTAGAGGCCACACCAAGCCCAGGGAATTCTCCAGTGAGCCAAAAACCACATCAGCATCCCAGCTGTTGGAGAGCCCCCACTGGGGTACCCTGTCTCTGAGGGAACCTGCAGGGGAACTGTGGAATTCCATTATGCTTCTGACATTGGGGTGACACTGGCAAGAGGGAAAGGTTAAGCTGGCCAGCACCCTGAAACCCTGAGCACTTTCTCATCTGTTCATCTTGAAGGCTGGAACACCTACTTAATAAAGGGGTGGGTTGGTTGGGTAAGGCAGTACTCCTAAGAGTCTTCCAAAGAATTAGAGAAAAGCCCTGTGAGGCCTGTCATGAAAGGGATTTTAAGGACCGAACTTCCACTTTATAAGTTGGGACACAGAGGCCTATGTGTGGAGAGGGACTTGCCCAAGGTAAAACAATGGAGAGTGGCTGGGCCCCTCCCACAGACAACACATCAACACAGAAGCTGGCCCTGATTAATAATTTAATGGCTGTGCAGGTCCTGGTCCTTTATTTCTGCCGCTCACGGGCCCACTGCTCTGGGGTCAGCGTTTTCTGTTCAAAGGCATGGATATGCGGGAGCTCTTCTGCTAGGCACGAGTTCACCAGCCTGAGGGAGAGATGGGGTTAGGTAATGGCAGGGGCCTGAGTCCCAGTCCCAGAAGCTAGGTTGACCCAGGAGGCTGGAGATGTCCCCAGGTTGTAGTCCCCAGGACCTGGGAAAAAGAGGCAGAGGGCCTAAGCCTCAATGCTCAATCCAGGGGTCGAGAAGGCTGAGTCTTTGGGGTTGTAGCCCACAGTGCTAGGCCGCATTGGCGGGGGTGAGGGAGTTGGGTTGCAAGGGGGTGGAAGGGGCGGGGTTGTGGTTCCAGAGCTGGGACCCCGCTGAGCGAGGTGTTCTCCGGCCTCACCGGTGTCTCTGAAGCAGCGGCTTCCCCTCGAACTTGGCCGACACCACCAGGACTCGGAAGCTGGACGCGCAACGGTTGGGAGTCGTGTCCTCCACTTCCTATGGGGCAGAATCGTGTGGGTGGTGCCAAACCATCCACCCAGAAGCCCTTTTCCCCTCGCCGGGTGAATCCAGGGCGCTCAACTCACCACGTGCTCTGCCTCCAGGTTCCTCTGCAGCTTTTCCCGGAGGTACTCGGCGCTGAGTTCCATTGCAGCAGACCGGGCCGCCAGCAGCCCAGCTGGGGATAACCCCAGATCCCGCGCGGGAGACACTACTTCCACCTTTACTGGCGCAACTTCCGCTGAGGCCTTCACTTCCGCCCTTACTAAAGCGTCCGTAAACCCAGCACTTCCGCCCTCACGCAAGCCCAGCTTGCCAACCGTCCTCACCGCCAGCCAGCCAATCAGAGTCTGCACGCGGGCGGGCCCGGCCCCCAGCCGCCGCTAATTGGTGTCCGCCGCCTGCGCAGCAGCCTGGGCTCCGCGGGCGGGTTTGGACACCTTAGCTCCTGTGAGGAAAGGGTGCACGAACCCGCACGCACTGCCGCATCCTCTAGGGTGCGGAATCGCCCCCAAACTCTTTTTCGTAGACAAGTATATTGCGGCCCTGGCAGCCCGACCCGTCCCGAGGTCAGAGGCCACAGCCATCAACCCACATGTCCCGATGGGTCTCTCGGGAGGCGCGACGAGGCCCGGGCGCTTTTTTGGCGTCTACCTGCTCTATTGCCTGAACCCGCGGCACCGGGGCCGCGTCTACGTGGGGTTCACCGTCAACCCCGCTCGTCGGGTCCAGCAGCACAACGGGGGCCGCAAAAAAGGCGGGGCCTGGCGGACCAGCGGGCGCGGGCCCTGGTGAGAGGGGGCGGGACGCTCAAAAGGAAGGCTGCGCGGAGCCCGCGGGGCCCGCGGGGGAGGTCGGCGACAATGGGTGGGGTCGGGCCTGCGGGGGCTGGTGACGGGGGTGGGCCCGGCTCGGTGGAGGAGCCTGTGGGGGGAAGACTCGGTGTGGGATTCGGGGCGGGGCTCGGTAGGAAGGGGGCTGATGATTTAGGCTGGGTCCGGCGACGGGGTGTTGGTGAACAAGGCTGGGATGGAAGATGGAGAGCCTAGGAAAGAGGCACCGAGGAAGGCAGTTAAGTCCCTGTGACTGGAGGTGGAGCCCGAGGTGGGCAGGTGCGAGGGATGGACCACTAAGAAGGGGCAGGGCCTCCCGGACAAGACTGGGCGCTGGCTGTGAGGACTACAACTCAATGAACGCGGCGAGGGGACTCGGCTTGTCATGGGGTGGGGCGGCGGGTCACAGGCCGCGCCTTGGTTCTTTCGCAGGGAGATGGTGCTCATAGTGCACGGCTTCCCTTCCGCCGTGGCCGCCCTTCGGGTAAGGAAGGAGACAGGGGTGGCGGGAAGATAGGCTGGGGCTTGGGGCCCTCGCTGGGCGGCCCTGAAGCCCTCCCTCCTGCCCGCAGTTCGAGTGGGCCTGGCAGCACCCGCAGGCCTCGCGCCGCCTGGCCCACGTGGCTCCACGCCTGCGAAACGAGGCCGCCTTTGCTTTCCACCTGCGCGTCCTGGCGCACATGCTGCGCGCGCCGCCCTGGGCGCGCCTCCCGCTCACCCTGCGCTGGCTGCGCGCCGACTTCCGCC